GGGAGAGATATTAGGAGGGGGAAAGAGAAATTAGGGGGGGAGAGAAATAGAAATTGGGGGGGAGAGAAATTGAAATTAGGAGGGGGGAAGAGATATTAGGAGGGGGGAAAGAGAAATTAGGAGGGGGGTGAGAAAGAGAAATTGGGAGGAGGAGAAGGAAATTGGAGCGGGAGGAGAGATTGACATTCATCACATACACACAATGCACCCTTTGCACACAGAAAAACACACAATGCATTACACACACAGACACACATACACAAGCAATGCAACCGTTACACACAATGCATCCCTTACACACACAGAAACACACAATGCATTCATTACACACACTCAATGCACCCCCTACACACATTCAATGCATCCCATACATACACAGAAACACACCTTGCAGCCCACACATACAAACACAATTTCACACAATGCATTCCCTACAATAATATTATCAGGACATCCCTACACACTCCACCCCCTGTGAACAAACTCATTGGTGGAACATGAAGGTGGACCCTGGGACCCAGACCTTGAGCTGTGTAAAGGACCCCCAAAAAATGGAGCTGCTTCCCGTTCTCCCAGAACATTGATTTTTTGTGACCACAGTTACAAACCGCCTCCAGAGAGCCTGTTCTGCACCAGACCAGTGGAGCCAGACTGCCGCTAGAGCCCATCATCATCCTCATCTGGTTGTAAGTAGGCAATCTAGTATATTATTCGTGGCACTAAGCTCTAATTTACCTCACATTAAAGAAACACTATAGTCCCCAGAACCACTTCAGCTTAATGTAGTGGTTCTGGTGTCTATAGCCTGTCCTTGCAGGCCTTTTAATGTAAACACGGCGGCACTGCAGCACTGGCGTTAGTTAACATGGCAAATCATATGGGTGGGGCATTGTGATGTCACATGGGGGGGGCGGCAAACTTTACTTTTGCCTAGGGCGGCAAAAATCCTTGCACCGGCCCTGGCTGGAGGGGGCTGTGTGAGCTGTGGCCGCACAGTGTCCCATGGTAGTTAGGGTGCCGTGCGGCCAGTACAGC